CGCCCTTGTCACTTCCCAGCTGGACGATTGTAATGCTCTCTACATGGGGCTCCCCTTGAGGAGCACCCGGAGGCTCCAGCTGGTCTAGAATGCAGCCGTGCGAGTAATAATGGGGGGACTCGTCGCTCCCATGTAACATCCGTCTTGCGCGAGCTGCACTGGCTCCCGGTGGTCTTCTGGGTGCACTTCAAGGTGTTGGTTACCCACCTTTAAAGCGCTCCATGGCTTAGGACCTGGTTATCTACAGGACCGCATTCTGCCACCGATTGCCTCCCACCGACCAATACGCTCCCACAGAGGGGGCCTCCTCAGGGTGCCGTCAGCCAAACAGTGTAGGCTGGCGACCCCCAGGGGGAGAGCCTTCTCTGTGGGGGCCCCGGCCCTATGGAATGAACTGCCCCCGGACATACGAAGGATCCCCGATCTCCGTGCCTTCCGTCGCGCTCTGAAGACCCTATTATTCCAGCAAGCTGGACTGACAGGATAAAGGTTTTTTAAATTGGATTTTGATAGGGGTTTTAAAATGATCTTAGTTGGATATTTTAAATTTGGCCAAATGATTGAATTATTTTAATAAGCTTTTAATTTTTGTTGTACATTTTTTACCATGGCTGTTCACCGCCCTGAGTCCCTTGGGAGATGGGCGGTATACAAATATAATAAACTAGCTAACTAAACTAACTAACTTAAGAACTGTGTTATGAACTTTAGAACTGCAATGATTCGCTTAACCAATGTGGTGAGAAAAATCATAACATGAGGCAAAACTCACTTAACAAATATTTCACTTAGCAATGTAAATTTTGGGCTCAATTCTGGTCGTAAGTTGGGGACTTACTTGTATCTGCTGGGCAGGATTGGGTTTTAGGGTTTAGTGGTCTAGACAGATGATTTTCTGATGTTTCGCCAGTAACCATGGTAGCATCTCCAAAGACCAAACATTCTGCTACACAGACCACAGGCAACTGAGCAGGGACTGATTGGACTTCTGTCTTTGTAGACAGGACATTTGAAGATGTCCCCAGAGAGATATTCACTCATAATACTATCTGGCTTTGTCTTTGCTGCTTTCCAGATTATGGTACCTAGCAACCTTGCCCTATGTCTGTGATGGCGAACCCATGGCACGCATGCCGGAAGTGGCAGGCAGAGCCATCTCTCTGGGCACATGAGCTGTCACCTGTTCGTCTTCCGGGTTCCAACGTGCCGGCCACTTGGTGTTCACCCGTGTGGGAATGCTGGAAACTGGAAGAGCAGCTGCCCAGTGCACATGTGCTGCAGTGGTGGGTTCCTCCCAGTTCGGTCCGGTTCGGCCGAGCCGGTAGCGGTGACAATATGACATCACTGAACCGGTTCTCCCCCACCCCCCACCCGCCCACGTTATTCTTACCTTTTATTTGGTCCCACCCCCAATCTATTGCTGCCTCCTGAGTCCCAGCTGATGACTAGAGGGAAAAAAACTGTTTAAACTCTTGCCGTGGGGCTTCAAAGGGCCGTCCTACAGCTGATCAGTGTTAAAAGCAAACAAATGAGTTGGGTCGTAAGTGCGAGGACTGGTCGTAAGTGTGAGGACCTTCCAGAAATGACTGACCAGCTAGCCACGCCCACCTAGTCACATGACCTCCAAGCCATACCCACACAATAAGTCACGCCCACAGAACCGGTAGTAAAAAAATTTAGAACCCACCCCTGGTGCACATGCGCTCGCTGGGAAGATGATCTTCCAGATTCACACTGGCCAGCTGGTCTTCGCATGCATGCGTGCCAGAAACAGGAAGACCAGGTGGCTGGTGCACATGCGTGCACCAGAAACAGGAAGATTATTTTCCCGGCGCACACATGCGTTCCGGGTGGCTGCTCTTCCAGTTTCCAGCACGCGCGCACCCGTTTCAGCACTTGGTACCAAAAAGGTTTGCTTACACTGCTCTATGTTATAATCCTAAACTCCACCAAACAGCTTCCCTTTTTTGAAACAGGCAAAATTCATAGGCTATTTTACCCAAGGAAAGATTTAAGCGTTATGTCTAGCGTGATAATTCCACATATCGGTTTAAAGCTGTCAATAAACCGTGCCCTGAAGAATTTCCGAGAAGAGATAAAATAAGTTGCTCTGCTGGAATGAGGATTTATGTTAATGAAGGAGAAGGCATTTCCTGTTTCTGGCCAAACATCTAATTCATTTCCATATCTTATTTGCAATGTTTGCATTTTAACCTTTCTTTATCATTTATTTTAGGTCAAAGGGATTGAAAGCAAATGAATTGTCTGTCATCCCACTATCTTTTCTTGTACTTCCCTAAACCAGCATCTAATAAACATCACCCACAGTGAAGCAAAACAAAAATATTGCCTAGGATTGAAAGATTCATGTAGGTTGGATTTCAGTCCAAAGATGCAAAATGTATTTTCTCTGTGGCCTTTGAGTGTTGGAGATGAAGCCAGGACAAAAACTAAAATTAATTTAATATATATTTAAACTTAAGTTGAATCTATTTGAACTTCAATTGGTAAAACCAACTGGCTGTGGATAGTCAGCTCCTTTGTATCTGGGGATTTACGTCTATGGTTCTGGATACGGTAACATTGCCCCGGACAAGGGGGTCTTCCTGGACTCATGATTCCTGCTCAAAGGGATCTCTCCTCCTGGGTTTTCCCCCCCAACTTTTGGTTGTGCACTAGTTATGCCCTTTCTTGGATCCTAATGACCCACTAATGACCCAGTCATCTCCTGGATGGACTACTACAATGTGTTCTACATGGGGCTACCCTTGAAGAGTATCTGGAAGCTGCAACTGGTGCAGAAAGCAGTGGCGCAAGCAGTTTTGGATGCCGCTAGGGAGGTGCATGTAACACCTCTGCTAAGCTGCACTGGGTAACCTGTTTGTGTCTAGCTTCCAGTTCCAGGTGTTGGTTATCACCTTTCAAGCCCTTCATGATGTTGGACCAGAATACCTGAGGAACCATCTCATCCCAGTTACATCAACTCGTTCCACAAGGCCAAGCAGAAAGGGCCTTTGCGCATTCTGTTGGTCAGGGAGTTTCAACTGGCGGGATCTAGGAGGAGGGCCTTCTCAGCTGCTGCCTCTATTTTATGGAATATCTGATCCACCCACCCCACTCCCCGAGATGAGGCAAGCCCTCATTCTTCTGGTTTTTGACTTTGCCAATTAGCATGGGTCTGGGTGTCTAAAAGTGGGTTGCAGCCCTAGAGTTGCTGGTAGCCTGAGTATTTTCTTATTGCCCTATTAATTTCTGTCAGGCACAAACAACCAGGTCCACATGTGAAGATTCAAAATTATTGATTTACTAGCTGGACGTCCGTGCTTCACTACGAAACTATGTGATCGGGCATGATAAATTGACACTTAAAGCCTGAAACTTAATGTAGAATGTGTAAATCTGTAGCATCAGGGCATGTTAATATAAGGCAACTGGCAGTTGGAACAGAGAGAGGGGGGGAGTAGAATGTCCCAGCCTGCAAGCTGGATGAGTCACGGGCTGGCCACGCCCACACCCGGTTTAGCAAAGGGGTAGCATCAGAGGGTGTTAATATATGGCAACTGGCACTTGGAACAGAGTTCTTTTCAGGTGGGGAGGGGAAGTAGAATGTCTAACTCCTTAGCATCAGAGCATGTGAATATAATACTGTATATGAAATACTAATGATCTGATGGTCATTTGGAAAAATCCTTTCTTAGCGAGCACCTAGAAGCCAAGTGGAACTCACGTGCCAAATTTCAAGTTTGTAGGCTTTACCGTTCTAGAGATTTTGTGATGAATGAGTCAGTGGTAAAATTTGTTACTACCGGTTCTGTGGGCGTGGCTTGGTGGGAGGGGTAATGTGACTGGGTAGGCATGGCCAACTTTTTTTTTTAACTTTTAAAAGCATTTTTTCGGCCGAAGAGGTTGTAGAAAAAATGTTTTTAAAAAAAAAAAAAAAACCAGCCTCTGATGATCACATGGCTCAACTAGGCATGGGGGGCGGGCAGGGATTTTTGCTACCGGTTCTCATGTAATTAGGACACTGGTTTGACAACCCTGCATTTGAGACCTGAGTGGGGTGAGTTCTCGTCCTTTGTTCCAACTCCTGCCAGGGACGTGAAAGGAACCCTCAACTGGGCATCCTCTGGGCTAGTGGTCCCCAACCCCAAGGCCACAGACCAGCACTGGTCTGTGGCCCGACAGAAACTGGCCCGCACAAATGAGCAAAGCCCCATCCGTACACGCATGGAATCCATGCAGCTTACGGAACCACACACTTCCCAGTCCGCAGAAAAACCCACCTCTGTGGAACTGGTGCCTGGTGCCCAATAGGTTGTCCTTTGCCATGGACAACGGTGATGTCACTGGCTAAGCCTTTCAATCCGGAAACCCCTCGGTGCTTCCAGCATGAGTATAATGCGATTAGATAGATGATGCCATTCAGCAATATAATTCCATTGTATGCTGCCCAGAGTCACTTGCTTGTGAGAAGGGCAGTTATATAAATTAGATAAATAAATAAATACCTCAGAAAGAAGACAAAAGTACAAGTCTCCGTTCGATGTCCAAACTACACGTTCTATCACTTTTCATAATAATGCCCTCTCCAGGGAAAGGCTTCATACAATTTAATCACAAAAGTAAAAAGTTTTACTTTTTTTCCCCCTATGCTATCTCACAACTATAACCTGTGTATAAAATCCAAAACTAGTATTTGTGCCACTGGCACCTGAGCTGACTTCAGCTACAAAATTAAGGCTGCCCTTTCAAATGAAATAAAATGCTGTCGGAACCATAATTTTTTAATGGAAAATTTGCATTCACTTCATTTCGTATTTTAAAATGGTAAGACATTCATATCAGAGCTAGTGATGTTCTCCAAAATCATAAAACCTCGAAGTCCAATCTCTTGTAAATTAGTTAGCAACCCTAAATATTTTTGGGGGGGATCTTAGCATTTCTTTTCACAGTTTCCCCCTTTTTTCAATATTCTCGGAATATTCTTGGTTTTCATTTACCTGTAATCAGGTTGTCCACCAATGTGGTTGGCATGCAGAAAATCCCCACCAAGACATCGCTGATCGCCAGGTTGAGGATAAAAAAGTTGGTGACTGTTCTCATCTGCCGGTTCTTTAGCACGATGAAGCACACCAACATGTTGCCAATCATGCACATGAAAAAGATAAAGGCATAGGCAACGATGAACATGGACGCTACTGGAGAAGAATGTTGATAGTAGGGGGAGAAGGTGGAGTTCCCCTTGTAGGTCTCGCCATGGCTGGTGTTCTTAGAGAATGGTGGGCTGCTTTTGGTGGGGTGTGGAATGACACCTGCGAAGGAGAAAGAAGACAAAATAACAGAATAACAGAGTTGGAAGGGGGTTCTAGTCCAACTCCCTACTCAAACAGAAGACCCTATACCAGTGATGGTTAACCTTTTTGGTGCCAAGTGCCCAAAGTGCTCTGTCTTGCACGCAAATGCACGGGCACGTGCCAGAACCCCCCAAATGCAATGTGAGTGCCCCCTGCATATGTGTCCTGCCCCGTGTATGCACGTGCATTCCCATGCATGCATCTTGGCCTCCATGCATGCGCCCTGGCCCCCTGCACCCCGTTTTGGCTTCCAGGTTGTTGCAGGAGACTTTCCAGGCCCAAACCAGGGTATGGGGGGCCTCACGCACCCTCTTTTGGGCCTGGAAAGCCTCCTGCACCAACCTGCATCCCCCCCCGCATACGCCCCCCCGGCATGTGTGGGAGGAAATGGGGATTTTGCAGTAACCTTCCCCTGGAGTGGGGAGGGAGTTGCCAGGTGTCCACTATTTGAGCGGACAGTCCGCTTTTTTCACATTATGTTCACTATTTTTTTTCACAAAATAGTGGACATTTTTTTTATTCAAAAGCTTTATGATGAAATGGTACGTAAGTTTTGCGAGTCAGAATTCCATGAAGTTTTGCGCCATGTTCCAACACGTTGGTTAAGTTTGTTTAAAGCGGTCGAAAGACTTCTTTTAAACTGGATACCTCTAAAATCTTATTTTATTTCTCTTGGATCTGATGAGTGCCATAAGGTTATCTGGAACCTTATTTCGGATCAGGAAAATGAACTCGCAAAGGACGATGAACCAACAATTTCAGAATTGTATTTATATTTCACGCACTTCTTCATGTCAATAATGCAAGACACCCTACTGAAGCTGGAAAGCAAGAAAATTCTTGCATGTGATCTTCACATTATCATGTGTAAGCTGCGTGATTCTTTGCAAAAAAAATACGATGAGCAGTTTTTTGGAATGAAAGTTTTATTTGCCTTACGTAAAAAACATTTGCCTGAGAATACCGTGCAAAAGTTTAAGAAAGAAGCCATCAATGTGTATCAAAGAGCCATTGCGTACCTAGAAAAGTGGTATAATTTCACCGATTCAGTATATGAGACTCTAAGTTGTTTCAATCTAATTAATCGCAATAATCCTCCAACTTCAGAAGAAATGACGAACATCTGGTTATTATCACCATGGCGAGAAGAACTTCCACCCAACACTCTCTTCGATGAAATTTCTGCCTTAGAAGAAGTTTATGTTCATCTGCAGGGCGATTCATCCCTTGATAAGTGGACGTACTTTTTCAAGAAAGAGCCAGCTCCGAGTTTACTGAAACTGTTCCAGTATTGTGCATCAATTCCGGTATCAAATGCAAACGTTGAACGAATTTTCAGCGACATGGGAAATTTGTGGACTGACGAACGTAACAGACTGCTTGTACCATCAGTTCGAAGTGAACTTTGTATATTTTTTAATATTTCTCAACGTTGTACTGAAATTAAAGAATTATTCCTTAAACACAAAGAATTGATCAAAGCTGCGCAGTCAAATAAAAAATACACATGACAGCAAAGTAAAATGTAATTTAATATTTTACATATTACTATGGTATATTTGATGTTTTGAATTTTAAGTAAAGTTTTGAAGTGATTATTTTAATACGTGTTAAAATGTTTGTAAGAAAATATATAATTTAATTGTAAATTTTTTATTTATTTTTTTACTACTTAACCCCCCCCCCCCGCTTGTCCGCTATTTTTGGGAAGCAGACCTGGCAACCCTAATCCTTCCCCTGGAGTGGGGATGGAATGGAGATTTTACAGTATCCTTCTCCTGCCATGCCCACCAAGCAATGCCCACAGAATCGGTAGTAAAAAAAAATTGAATCCCACCATTGGTGCGCACCTTCTATCTGTGGGCTCAGTGCCTCTTATCCAACTGTTCCTCTCTCTGTGGCTCTTCCCTCTGTTCTCCCAAAGATCATTCCTCCATTACCATTACCATTTGTGGAATTCTATTTCCCATCATCCCTCACTGTTAGACAATCTGGCTTGGTTTACTACATTTATATTTTAGAAGAACTCTGGAGAACCCGTGTCCCACTGAGTCATCACTTCAGAGATATTTCCTTACTTAAACTGAGAAGCTGAATGAGTGGGAACAACTTCTGACTTCCTACTGGCTTTCCCATTGAGTTTCCTTGTGGGAAGTGTGGGAAGTGTACCCCACGGGGACAATGCCAGGGACCTCATAGCACCAGAAACCTCAGAAAACAGTGCCAAGAGACTCCAGCCAGCCCTTCCCCCTTTAAGAAAACCAAGAAGCACCAGCTGAAAGAAAAACACAGAGCTGCCCTGCTAACAGAGCTGACAATAGAAATACTTAAGTAGGGCCATTAAGATAAGGGGAATCAGGCTAAAAATAACTCACCTGGAACTCCCTTTTTCTTTTTCCTGGCAAAATTAACCCCCAGGATAGGAAAGACAAAGCCCCAGGAACAGGATTAACCCATTAAGGCAGGAAGACAGGATCCAGGGCAATCACTTTAACTAGAGGCACACAAATAAACCAGTAGTGGGTTCCTCTTACCTTCGCTACTGGTTCGGAACCAGGAGTGCATGTGTGTGCACGCTCGCTTCGCTCATGCACAGACCTTCTGCACATGCGCAGAGCATCCACGATGACGTTCGGGTGGGTGGGTAGAGCCTCCCGCCACCACCGCTATCAGTTTGCCCGAACCAGGGCGAACAGGTAGAAACCCACCACTGAAATTAAAGTAAGATCGAATCCTGCCAGGCTCAAGGTTGACTCAGCCTTCCATCCTTTCTAAGGTAGGTAAATTGAGGACCCAGTTTGTGGGGGCAATAAACTGACTTTGTATAAATATACAAAAGTATGAAGGCTATTGCTTAACGCATTGTAAGCCGCCCTGAGTCTCCGGAGAAGGGCGGCATATAAATCAATTTTTTTAAAAAAATCCATCAAGCTGCAGAAGCTTCAAAGGGGAATTAAGAATAAAAGCTCAGAGCCACACTTCCAAGTTTGCTTGCAACCCAGGATCACTTGAGCTGTGTTACTACCCTTCTTGCCTTCCTGAATTAAAAGGATCCATTTTCTGGCAGCTGCTTCCATGTCTATTTCTTCTCAGCATTGGTGGCTGCTTCCCAAGCTGGGAACGAACCAGGGAAATTTTTTTCAACAGAAGCTAGCGGGGAGCAACCAAACTTTTCCTTTCTCCTCTCCCCTCTCCCTTCCCTCACCTCCTTCCCTCCCTTTCACTCAGTTAAAGGTCATGACAACGAGAGTTTCCATAGGGTATAGATCAGGGGTGGGTTCTAATTTTTTTTACTACCAGTTCTGTGGGCGTGGCTTATTTTGTGGGTGTGGCTTAGAGGTCATGTGACTAGGTGGGCGTGGCTAGCTGGTCAGAGTCATTTCTGGAAGGTCCTCGCACTTACGACCAGTCCTCGCACTTACGACCCGACTCATTTGTTTGCTTTTGACACTGATCAGCTGTAGGACGGCCCTTTGAAGCCCCGCGGCAAGAGTTTAAACAGTTTTTTTCCCTCTAGTCATCAGCTGGGACTCAGGAGGCAGCAATAGATTGGGGGTGGGACCAAATAAAAGATAAGAATAACGTGGGTGGGGGGGGAGAACCGGTTTGGTGACATCATATCGTCACCGCTACCGGTTCGGCTGAACCGGACCGAACTGGGAGGAACCCACCACTGGTATAGATCCAAGAGTATCTGTAGGATATAGTAAAATAAATAGTGGCTCCCGGTAAATGTGATTAAAGCTTTGTCTGATTTTTAATGTGTGCCACATGTGCACATGAGAAACAGATAGGGCTTCACTTGTACCATCCCGACCTCCCCCCACCATCTATGACTTTGCCGTACCCTGGGGGACACCCCTGACCATCTCGGTGACCATTGGTTGTTTTTCAAGGCCACCAGATAAACTATGGAAAATAAAGCAATTATATTTCAACCATGACGTTTTTCTATCCTCTTATTTTAAGCCCTCTGAAGAAAATGTCAGTTCGTAGCATGTGATATTCTCATTTAATAATGAAGGTCAAGGAAAAGTCGAATTTGCTAATTCAGAGATGGTTTGTAGTTGCTGACACCCTTGAAATTACCAGTTCTGCATCTAGGCTCTTGATAGTTAAGCTACCCTGAAGTGAAAAGGATTAAACATAATGCCACCCGGTTATGAGAAGGAAAAATAATGTTCCCCCAACATATGGTCACTTAGAAGGTTAATGTGTTGTATATAGAAGAATGACATGTTTGTGAGATAGATGACTATATAAATTGGGTAGATAGATAAACCAATAAAATATCCCTCAAAATAGACAGTTGACCCAGAGAACTGTCACAGATTTCAATTAGCCCAAAAGAGACCCTATCGTGCACAAAGGTTAAATTAATTTCATTCACTTATGGGAAGAGCTAAGGTGGCGCAGTGGTTAGGGTGCAGTACTGCAGCTACTTCAGCTGACTGCTAGTTCAGCAGATCAGCGGATCAAATCTCACCGGCTCAAGGTTGACTCAGCCTTCCATCCTTCCGAGGTGGGTAAAATGAGGACCCAGATCGTTGGGGGCAATATGCTATTTAGTATACTGTCTTTGGTGTAAGCCTCCCAGAGTCCTCGGAGAGTGGGCAGCATAGAAATATGAATAATAAAATAAAATAAAATAAATAAATAAATAAACCTCTAGAACCAGTCAATCAACTCATTTTGCATAGTTAGTCTAGTGGGGGAAAATTGGGGGAATAAAACAACTTCTGCAGGATCCAGCATAGAATATGCCTGCCAAATTCAGTTGCTCCTGAAGATTTAGCCCTATCCATTATCGCCCAATTCCATTCAATCCAAATGTACATAATTGACACATTTGATCCTCTTGAATGTCTACATAATTGATGTGTTTTCATCCTTGGCATCAATTCGTCTCAATTTGCATCAACTGCATAATAATATCATTTGTAGTTTTACATCGTGCA